CGGTAGAGGGGCGAGGAACGGAGGGGAAAGCGGAGAGTTTGCACGCGAGGTTGCATGTGGATCGAGCCGAGTAGGCGTGGCCGAGCGTCGCCCCGCCCACAGCTTCCCCTCTGGCGGACCAGTGGTGGGAGTCGGCGAGGCGTCCGATTGGCTGACAACCGGTTGGCGAGGTCGTACCTGCATTAATTATTCTAAATAAGTCGTCGCCCCTGCGGCGGCTGATTATAGAGTTTGCAGTGCCATAAATAGAACCCGTTTACAAATCGCGTTCGGGGAATAATGATCGTCGCGGCAAGATCCAGCGCCCTGGCTCTTCCTTTTTCATGCCCAACGAAAAACCCAATCAATCCCTGACGTACGAGACTCGCGATTGGTCTCGCTCTAGGCGTTCTCCCTTTTCGACCGCGATTCCTTCGGGGTTACTTATCCTAACGAACGAATTAGTTCGCTCTACGATGAGTCATTTTGCTTCGAATACGTTTCAACGGACATCGGGAGATGAATGACAACGTCGACGTTTCAGTCTTCCTTAGAATTATGGACCTGCTCCGAATACATTAACCGCTGCCCTTTCTGATCTCGAGATCCGCAGAATGTTACTGCCAAGTGTTCTGATGTCCTTATAGAATTTTGGAGGATAGTATTTTGAAGAGATATCGAAAATTTAGACATTGATAAACCATAATGAGTAAGTTGATAATAAACTAGTATTTTGAACAACTACATAGTTATCAAAATGGAACAGAAGGACTTAACCCACTTTCACAGGCTTCGTCATCTCAATTCAACTTAGAACCTTAATGACCATTTTCCAGTAATTTAACTCGTCCATGGCAAAAACGATTAACGATTTGTCACGATCAATCGACACATATAGGTTTATTACCATAGATGTTTTAGCGGAGAGTAGTTCACAGGATCTATCCCTTCCCGTCGATGGTACTCGAACTGGAAAGTGGCATAGAATGCGGCTCTGCTTTCAGACGGGGCCTCTATTGATGGATAGACACGTTATGGTTATTTATAGCGGCTATCTCTATTATTGTTCTTGCACGAATCCAAGCAGCGACTAACGATCGCTTTGTGGTTCTCGTGGCAGCTGGTATCCCTTAGGTGTGGTCATTAATAAAACCGTAGACCGTAACAACGATCTCACGCGTTTCTTTGGCTGCCCTTACGTTGGCGGAACAAAAGAATTTGGCGAGGTCGTACCTGCATTAATTATTCTAAATAAGTCGTCGCCCCTGCGGCGGCTGATTATAGAGTTTGCAGTGCCATAAATAGAACCCGTTTACAAATCGCGTTCGGGGAATAATGATCGTCGCGGCAAGATCCAGCGCCCTGGCTCTTCCTTTTTCATGCCCAACGAAAAACCCAATCAATCCCTGACGTACGAGACTCGCGATTGGTCTCGCTCTAGGCGTTCTCCCTTTTCGACCGCGATTCCTTCGGGGTTACTTATCCTAACGAACGAATTAGTTCGCTCTACGATGAGTCATTTTGCTTCGAATACGTTTCAACGGACATCGGGAGATGAATGACAACGTCGACGTTTCAGTCTTCCTTAGAATTATGGACCTGCTCCGAATACATTAACCGCTGCCCTTTCTGATCTCGAGATCCGCAGAATGTTACTGCCAAGTGTTCTGATGTCCTTATAGAATTTTGGAGGATAGTATTTTGAAGAGATATCGAAAATTTAGACATTGATAAACCATAATGAGTAAGTTGATAATAAACTAGTATTTTGAACAACTACATAGTTATCAAAATGGAACAGAAGGACTTAACCCACTTTCACAGGCTTCGTCATCTCAATTCAACTTAGAACCTTAATGACCATTTTCCAGTAATTTAACTCGTCCATGGCAAAAACGATTAACGATTTGTCACGATCAATCGACACATATAGGTTTATTACCATAGATGTTTTAGCGGAGAGTAGTTCACAGGATCTATCCCTTCCCGTCGATGGTACTCGAACTGGAAAGTGGCATAGAATGCGGCTCTGCTTTCAGACGGGGCCTCTATTGATGGATAGACACGTTATGGTTATTTATAGCGGCTATCTCTATTATTGTTCTTGCACGAATCCAAGCAGCGACTAACGATCGCTTTGTGGTTCTCGTGGCAGCTGGTATCCCTTAGGTGTGGTCATTAATAAAACCGTAGACCGTAACAACGATCTCACGCGTTTCTTTGGCTGCCCTTACGTTGGCGGAACAAAAGAATTGCCTTCTGTTCACCCGTCGACCAATCTGGTCGTGCGTGGTTAGCAATAAAATTTTGAAACCTGTTGGGGAGAATGTGTCGTGCATGAACGCGTTCGATACAAGCAGGTGGTTTGCGGCTAAGAAAATGTTGCAGGAATGCTTACAGTCAATTTTCCGTCGTGCATAACAGTTTCGCTCGATAATTGCCCGCTTTCGGGGCTCTGGAGGCGGAGGCAAGGTCTTTGACTCTCGATAACTTTCAATTCGATTTATTAGACGTTGTTCTATGTGATTGGTAATCGATTCTTCAATGTTTAAACTCGATGGGAAAGATAGAAATTTAGAAATCTGAGAGTTTAGAAACTTTCTAAGTTAACAAACATCCAGACCACTATATTTCTAACGAAGTAGATTATCGTACGTGTACTACAGTTGTTTGCTTCGACGATTACGATCATTATCTGGACTATGATTACCTCGCACATTATGCATCATCATGTGCAAATTATTGCACACCTTGTAGCGAATATGTAAAGTTGAAATTAGTTGTTGCTAACTTGTTCATTGCACGAAACGGACTCTGTAATTTGAGCGAGTTGACGTGAGAAGTAAAAACAGTGACCGTATGTTCAAGTTCAACGAACGTTAATTAATCGGCAAATGTTCACGCTTAAATGTTAGATCCTCTTTAATTACAGTTCGACACGTAGCGCATTGCGTGTGACCTGATTGCCGCGAGATCGGTTCTATTACGAGCTTTAATTGCCACGATTTTAACGACGCCTCCTTGTAAATCTCGCGTGCTTCTAATGCATAGGTTTGTTCCTTTCATGTCGTGAGCAAATAACGTTTCGACCAAAGAAGAGAATCTCATGCGATTAGACGTTAAAAGGGTTAATAGCTGTAATTTTCTCTCCTCAGTGGTTAATGACCGAGTGTGTCGTCGCCGCTGCTAATGACGTTAATTGCGCCGTTCGAGTAGTCACAACGAAATCATAGCAATTTCAGCTTTCTTGAACGGCACGGTTCACTTACGACTGTCAAGAACAGGTATACTCAACTGCGATTTAAAATTCTTCATATTCGTAAATCTTATTCTTCAAGTTCGTGAATGTCCAAATTTCTAATACTCTAAGTTTGAAAACTTGAAAGTTCACAAATCGAAAAATTTATCAAATAAAAACCTATTGCACAATCTCCTCTACATTTGGTCCCCTAACAAATACACCAAAATTACCAACTGGCATCTTGTCAAATTCGAGCCTGACCAGAAGAAGCGTCGAAACAGAAAAGTATACGTTCATCAATAACTGCAGCGAGTTCGTGGAAGTAAGTTGTAAACTAACCATGTTCCATGAGGAGCATCAAGGGTTGAACCCTTCCTCGAAGTCCACCTTTAAACAAACACAAAAGGAGTGAACGATTGAACGATCGAGTCACGTGACGATCGAGGACGGAAGTGGAGGAGAGCGGATGTCGAAGGGAGGCTGTGAAATAGCATCTGCCACGAAACGGATAATACATTTGTTCGTTAACTGTCGCGCAGGCCCCACCCAAAAAGGGGGGATAGTCGACGGAAGATCCGGATGGCCGAGTAAATTCTTCTATAAAGCGATTTCGACGTCGAACGATAAAATCCGCGCCGCATCGTCGAGACACCGCTCGTCGACTCGAAGAAATGAATTAGCTGCCTCTGGACGGTAATCAGGGTGGGGAGGAACAAAAGTATGGAGTAGTGGGCATCGGAAAAGTGGGAGGGGTGGCAAAGTGGGCGGAGCCTGGCGGGGAGGGGCAAGATTGTGGGCGAGATCTTCGGTCGAGCCGATGGTGGGAGAGCGAAACGGGGCGGGGAGAAGCTAATGCCTCTACCAACGTTCGCAGTGGGGCAGACACGTATGTTTTTTCGACTCGAACTTTTAGATTACTGGGAAACATCGCTGGGGATTCTTATTTTGTAAATGTGCAAATATACTAGTGTATAAACTCGAACACTGATGTGGTCATATCGAAATTCTCTCAATTATATTTCATGCAAGTGTGGTTTACCGTATTTAGGAATTGGACTAGAGACATGTTTACATTAGTCAGTGAGTCAGTTTAGAAGTAAGTCACGTTGTCAGACTCCGCCCAGATAAGTAACCCAGTACATCCAGTATAGTACCAGACTTCCTATCTCCTTTGCCCGTATGTTGTTTATCTGGATAAGGTCTGATGACTTGTCCGCGTTAATTGTCTAGCGCAAACGGGTCTCGAATCGAGTCTATTACAGTTACTTTCTAAAAATAGTAGCAAACAAGACTACTTGAACATGCCTCGTACAAAAAATCGATTAAACGGGGAAGAAAATGGACTTGAATTTGCTTCTGAAACTGGATCTGGATATCGGGTGCGGATTTGTCGGGCGCATGTAAAAGAGTATGTTGGATGTTTTTGACGAAGAAGGTATAAATAAGACAGAAATCTGAGCGTTGTCGAAAGGAGACTGGCTGCAACGGCATCGATCGTAGTGAACCCAAACCCAGGCTCCCTACTATTGGTGCCGTGCGTGGTGGGGACCGTCGAGTGACGGCGGTGGTGGGGCGAACCTTACGCCAGTGGGCGGAGCCTGTGACTGAAGAGTTAATAGAGATACAATCGAGGGTGTCTAGTGCACTGCACTCGAGGCTGGGGCGTAGGAGGAGAGAAGGGGCGCGGGGAGCGGAGGGGCAAGCGGTAAGTAGGGACCACAGGTCCCCTAGTTTAGACATCACTGAGCGACGGATGGACAGCCAGTCAGACCCGTCACAGCACTCGCACGAGTCCTCGGAAACCTCGAGAAAAGCCAATACCGAGTAGACTTCCCGCTCTTGGAGCTGATCCAGAGTCGAACCGCTTTGGGCAACGGGGACGTTCCACGATTCGAACCACGTGAACGGGATCACGCGGAAACCGTTCAATTTCGATGACACAGGCAATCCGCTCGCGTTTACGAACGGCACAGTGAACCGATTGTAGTGTCATCTCCGAGAACGAGGCAGTGTTTCGGCAGTGAACTTCTGATTAATGAGTCGAGTGACAAGTGTGACCCCGTGTTCCCGTGCAGACATGTTGACGGAAGGTTAAGAACCCCTGACCAAGTCGACGATCGCGAGAGAGAGTTAATCGCGCGAAACACGCACAGGACTATTTACACGAACGAACGATGAGCGTAGCACTTGTGACGATGGATTCTGCGTACGGTCTTCGACTGGGGATTGGCAGCCACCATCACCACCACCATCATCATCATCACCGGGTGCGTTCTCCGGAGAGTCACGTGGTGCCTCGTCAAGAACAGCCGCAGGATCGTAAGGAGGACATAGAGACACCCTTGAGATTCAGCGTGGTGAACATTTTGAGGCCAGACTTTGGACGCGAAGCGATTCTCAGTACCAAGACTCCGAAGCAGGCGAACTTGACTGGACACTCTACCACCATTCCGGTACCGATCCCGCGACACAGCCCTCTGTCCCTTCCGCGGGATTTGAGTCTCTCCTCGAACAGACTGTCTCCCACGAGACCGCAACCGAACGGTTTTTCCGTGCACAGAGAGAGGGACCTGTTTTCCACTCATTGCGGATTGACGTCGCCCCTTCAGAGGAACAGTGGACTCAGCAGAAGCGGAAGTCTCGAGAGTCTGGCGAGTAATAGGAGCTCCGTAACCGGAAGCTCGGTGACAGGAGCGCCTTCTATGGGCTCCTCGTCCTCCACCATCGGCAGCGAGTCCTTGAGCGGAGACAGCAACTCCGGAAGTGTTAGCAATTCCGTCACGAATCAGGCTGGAATCAACGGACAGAGTCCTTGGCCGGCGTGGGTCTATTGCACCAGATACTCGGACAGACCGTCTTCCGGTAGGTATTCGCAATTTATTCCTGATCAGAAGTCATGCGATCTCGCGCAAACACGGGAATGAAATAATACCGTCAATTTACCGGGAACATGCGAACGTAAGAATTAATTCGCAACCGTATTCGCTGGAATTGAATTCCCGCGGACAGATATATCTTAGTTAATCGCGTTATCAAGGAAGTCGAGCGGTACGCGAGCAGGTAGCCATAGCTCGCCATTCTCGTACCACTATTTCTCCGTATCCGCTTAATCAATTAACTTTGGCGACCGTTACATCTGGAAACCAGTTTCTATGTAAATCAACTGCGAGACGCTATCGAAAAATCGTTTGGTCGCATAAAGCTTACCCAATTATAGTCGGTCGGTGCCTGCGTTCCGCGAGCGGATTCCATAAAGAAATAACGAGTTTCCTGGAGCGTTGTTCCAGTTCCGATTTAGCGTCGTTACTATACCTCTCTATTCTGTAATCTTAGGCTGAGGCACATCAGCAGATTAATATATTCTGCTGTGCTATATGTTGGATCGATTGTATAGCGTTTAGGTATGCATATGGAGTTTGCATTAGTTCCTTTCAGTTGAGTATCGAGAGGGAGGAATTTATTTTCAGTTTCGGGGGAATTTAGGGAAGATACAGTGAGAGTTTAGGAAGAATTAAGAAGGGTGTGCGACACAACGGATGGGGGTACTACGTTGTGAACCAATGCGATACCAATGGTTGGTTCAGTCTTGTGAGTCGATCAAGAATTGATTTAACATGCGGTATCACATGATAATAGAACTCATTGCAATTCTCCTTCACATACAAAATTAAAAAGACTTAAACTACCGTCACAATGCACATTTTAAAATTTCAGACCCAGCTGAAATAACTCTAATCCAAACCCATCGCATCCAAGCGAACATATCACTCGAATAGCACCTGCAACAGTTCGCATAGCATCATTCCGTTAAACCTATGTCCCCGATCTACCCTCCGCAATCATCGTGGCCCAGATACTCGTGAATCGTGTCCAAGGTGGTCCGCGACCTTACCGCCAGACAACCGTGTTACTAATTACGACGAATCTCGATTGGATCCTCTGCTTCTCACTACCGGGCTTCCCGTTAATTAAACAGTATTCGAGGATCGATGGCGGATGATAGGATCTTAATCAGGGAATTTTAGGTCAAGTATCTTGCGGATGGAATTTCTCGGCTCGAATGATCGGTTCGTGGGACTTTGAGGATAGCGATCGTGGAATTTCGGAGGCGATTCATTAGACACCAAACGAGACTCTATCGAAGGCGGACCCATGTTTTCGTGTAGCCGATCGTTTTCGCCGTTTGTCTCGCGACCGGTTTTAGGAGCCGTTGTTCGATAATGCGATTCGATGCTTTATGAATATTCATCGCGTCGAACACGCGCCGAGTTTTCCGCTCGCGACGATCGCCAAATTTGGACCTGTAATAATGCAGGTCCCGGTGAAACGATACTCGCGACAGATAAACGCGGCACCGTGTTTAATATACCAATTGCGGCCGAATGATCCAGAGATAGTCAGCGGAACTGTGCCGCAAAGGGACCCGTTCTGTTAGGCTTAATGAAAGATTAACCCGGCTGAATATCAATTGCGACGTAAAAACAATGAACAATTAACGTTCCAGGTCCGCGGACGAGGAGAGTGAAACGCACGGCGAACGGAAGCAAGAACGGCACGCCGGAAGAGAAGCGACCTCGAACCGCGTTCAGCGCCGAGCAATTGGCAAGACTGAAGAGGGAATTCGCGGAGAATCGATATCTGACCGAGAGAAGGAGACAACAGCTGTCTAGAGACTTGGGTCTCAACGAGGCGCAAATCAAGATCTGGTTCCAGAACAAACGGGCGAAAATCAAGAAAGCTAGCGGACAGAAAAACCCCCTGGCTCTTCAGCTCATGGCCGAGGGCTTGTACAATCATTCGACGGTCCCGGTCGACGAGGACGGAGAGGAAGTCGGTACCGGAAACAATCATCCTCACTGAGAGTTTAACGTTTAGCTTGCTAATACTGGCAAGACGCAGACTTTTATTACCTTTGATTTTGGGAAAATTTAGGGTAAGTTAGGGAACTTTATCCTTGGATCATGATCTTAAATAAGAGGTCTAGATGGTCTTTGTGGTCTCGAAGCGAATATAAACGCTGTACGGCAATATTCATCCCTCGCGAACGCTGTGGGATTACCAAATTTCTACCTAAACGAATCCCAACCCTTAAATCCAGAAATAAAAAATTTTCAAACATCTGTTGATAATATCGAATGATGATGAAAACATCCAATGATTGCTACCCTAAATTAACCTAATCTAAAGGAGAGCTCTGACTGTACATAAATCGCAGACTGATCCTTTCTATATTTATCAACTACCTATGTATATGAGCGTAGAGAATAGTAAGCGAACTGGATCCGATGTTTATCGGCCGGTTAAATTAATTTATTTCCTGTGTACATAGTTGTAAATACGACTGGTCGTAAATGTGTATATGTATGATACGAGATAAAGTATAATTGCCGCGCGAAGATTCTATTATTTGTGTAGGTTGCGCACGGTCGCGTGTGAATACGAAACGATCTCACACTGTATATTCCTAATTATTGTACGAGTATATACAATACGGAGTATGTATATACATACATGTATATTATGTAGACAGAGTTGGACAGCATGCGTATATACCAGTGTCTCACAATATGTGGTCGATATAATCTATGTAACCCGCTTACATGTTGCCACCGATTAAATCGAATTAAAAATACACGCTCCCTCGTTCTATGTTCTGTTCCTGTCCTCGGATTCCTTACACGGTTTCTTCGACGACAAAAAAGAAACGAAGAAGAAGTAGAAGAAGAATAAATAATCGCTTACTCGGTCAGACTAATAGAAATCCACAATTACCACGATCATAAATTTCGATTCGAATAAACAGCCAAGATTTCTCTCCGATCGTTAGCCGTAATTGTACACCGCATTCACAACGGCGAGTCAACGAATTTCATCTTAGCAGGGGAAAGAGAGCCGTTCCACGAGCGTCCTTTCGAAAGCGGAGAGACGTAATTAATAAAATTTACATGGTCGAAGAACGGACACATACACGGACGGGTAAGTACAGATGCGTGGCACGCCTCGTTCACGGTGACACACCGTGACGCGCTAATTGATCCCAAATTAACGAGACACCCGGTATCTCGAGCGCGACCGACAAATGGAACGTGGCGAGAATGACAGTGCGCGACTAGCTCAAACGCGTTCGCTCGCATGGCGGTAGCGATCGGCAGGAGATAAAAGATATCTGCACCTGTTAGACGCCGCCATACGTGTCTGTTCGCTAACAGATTTACGAAAGTGGCCTTTTACCTCGACACGTTGAAATTTGTTACGTTTACCCTTTTAGTTACGCCGCGTTTCCAATGATACTTTGTTGTGTCATTAACTGGTAATTTCTGAGGACATGATTGACACCTTGTGTGATAAACTTTGCGATGCTATTATACCACTGCTTTTTGCATTTGCTTATCAAGTTTTATATTAGAATTAGGTTCTCGTTAAACTTAGTTAATAGGTTTACAATATGAGATGGAAGAAATGAAACATTTTTCAGATTGATCGTAAAAGCGAATGGAAGGTGACGCGTGGAACATACATGCAACTATAACGAGTTGACTATACAACGCACTGACTATTCAACACATCTAACGAAAGATTTAAATAACTTTAAATTTGAATTTCGCGAAATTTACACGTCCGATAGTTGTCGAATAAATACGACGGAACATTATTAATTGCTGTTAATTCGAACGTGAAAACCGCAGCGAGGAACAGTATCCAGGGGTAGCATCGCGCACGCAAACGGTAGCCGAAACCGAGAGATAAATTACAGAGTCGTTGTTTCTGGTCATTGTATTTAAACGTGGCGATCCCTAATTGGTAATTCTATCGGGATACTGCATTGTTCGCCGTAATTGCGCGCAACGGTATTTTCGCCAAAGGTAAATTCCATTTCACGTGCACTCTTTATTGAACGGTAGGGAGATGCACCTGGTATGATTGTATACCATCAACGTAACGCGATCATTCCATATTTCATTTTTTGAACGTTTCTCGTAATCGAAGTCGTCAAAACTTGATGTCTGAATTTATTTCTGAAATTGAGGGTCTGTGGATGTGATGTTTTATGTAAAAGAAATTAAGGTTTTATATAGAGAAATAGGGGAAATGAGGAAGTGAAGTTATTTTTGATAACATAGCAGGTTAGGTCCAATAAAGAGGGTGGATGTCCATTCTGGGGGCATCTTGGTAAAAAATTCAGTATTTTTCTATCTTGTTCAGATTTGAGTCCAGATGTTCAAAAACAGTATTAACTGAAAATGAAATTAGTCCTAAAATTTCGGGATACCTGAAAACATAACTCTATGTGCCCAGTAAAATTGATAGGACTAAAATTTAGGTTCTAAACATTTAGAAGCCCCATCCGAATAATTAAACCAGTACAGTAAAATATTAGATCTATAATTCCTAAAAGTGTTAATATTCCCAATGAATCTCTCCGGACTATTTCGGTAACTGTGACGAACGGCGTCCATACAACTCTCCATTATTAATTATCATTAATTTAAAGGGCGACATTGGTCACGGGGGTTGTTCGCGCGGGAAAACGTGTCGGTTAACGGGGGGTAAGCGACGTTCTCTTCCAGCGTTGGAAACAAACGCACGGACCGGTGGGCCAAACCAGGGATAAATTACAGAGTCGTTGTCCTGGCCATTGTATTTAACTGCGGCGATGCGTAATTGCTGGAACGCCGTTGCATATACGTTGGAGAGGCCAAGAGGCAGGGTGGAGAAAACGAGTTAGAAGCAGGGAGGGACGAGAGGGTGCAACAAGCAGAAGACAAGAGGGATGGTGGAAGGGAGTTAGCAGTGTGGTCGAGAACCATAGTCATCGGAATGGCCATTAGGGGTCTCTACGTTTCCGCCAGTGGCTCACTAAATTTCGTCTTCTTGCCCGCTTCGGGACCACCTTGCGATCCTACGGCGATTAATGGCGACTTTGCCGCTTGTTTATTACAATATCACCATGCAAAAGTTAGACACTTGCGGACGGAGGAGCTCGCGTTGCTTTCGAGACGTTTATGGACCGAGATGATATTAATTGATTGAGGCTAACGAGCCGACGAATTGAATAAACGACACGCTATTGACGACTTATTTTATGCCGATTAACGAATGAAATGGAGAGAGTCTTCTTCAGCTTCGGTTTGTGGGTTGGGTGATTTACGAATTTGCTAATTGGTTCATAGATTTTTAATTCAAACTAAAGTCAAACTTAGTCATTGAACTTGAGAGTCTATAAATTTGTAGGTTCATGAATCCTCAAGACGTCAAGTTTCACGATTTCATAATTTTAGAGCCTGTAAGTTTATACATTTCCAAACCTTCAAGTTCCTAAACTCCTAAAGCCTCAAGTCCCCAAATTCTTAGAGCCCCAAACTCTCAACTCCCCAAATTCATAAATCGCCAAATATTCAAACTCCCAAGTTCCTAGAACCCCAATCTCTCAAGTTCCCAAATTCCTAGAGCCCCAAACTCTCAAATTGCCAAATTCATAAATCCCCAAATCCTCAAATTTCCAAATTCCTAAATTTCCCAAATTCACAACTTTCCAAATACCTAACTCTCCAAATTTCTAGAACCGCAATCTCTTAAGTTCCCAAATTCCTAGAGCCCCAAACTCTCAAATCGCCAAATTCATAAATCCCCAAATCCTCGAAATCCCAAATTCCTAAATTTCCCAAATTCACAACTTTCCAAATACCTAACTCTCCAAATTTCTAGAACCGCAATCTCTTAAGTTCCCAAATTCCTAGAGCCCCAAACTCTCAAATCGCCAAATTCATAAATCCCCAAATCCTCGAATTCCCAAATTCCTAAATTTCCCAAATTCACAACTTTCCAAATTCCTAGAACCCCAATCTCTCAAGTTCCCAAATTCCTATAGCCCCATACTCTCAAATCGCCAAATTCACAAATCCCCAAATCCTCAAATTCCCAAATTCCTAAATTTCCCAAATTCACAACTTTCCAAACACCTAACTCTCCAAATTCCCAGACACCCAAACTCTCAAGTCCTCCAGATTCTCCACCCTGAAAAATATCAAGATTTGAAAACTTAAAAAACTGCTAAACTCGTAAGTTCCTAAATTCCCAAATTTCTCAGCGTATTCCGGTCACCCCTGTATAGAACCCGCGTGCGCACGCTTTGGGATCGGCGCGTTTCCTCTCGTCGTCGCTGCTAACGAGTGTAACGAGCCCCGGCCCGTCAAATTAAAGGCGGTCCGCGCAAGAGGCGAAGCAAAATTTATCGCGTCGCTTTCGGGAACCGCGGGTAAAGGCCACTTAGCTGCCCGTAAATGCGTCGTCTCTATGACGACACGGCGGCAGATGTCTCGCCAATAGATCACCTCGCACGAGGAGAGAAAGAGGCTTTGTGAACGCGTGTCTCTCATCGCGAGACCTACCAATGGACACGAAAGAGCCGACTATGAATTATACTTAACGAGAACGCGACATTTTTTCTTTGGGAACGTTAAAAGATTCCTTGATCCGCAGATTCATTGCGTCCAAATACGTTTCCTTCATCTTTTAACCGAACTTTAATTCTTTGAGCAGCTTCTGATATGAAGGTGCTAAGATAAGCTGTAAATATTTATGCAGTCTTTATTGATGATGAGATCTATTATTATGGAAGTTTGTATTTTGCTGTTACATTTTTTTGCATAATTATTTTTTTATGAGTATTCGAGTTATGTGATTGATAACTAAATTATATGAAATTATGATCGTAATCAATTACCACATCGATCACTAATTGATATCAAATTGTCCACCCGATATCACCCATAAACTACACTATTAATGTATTCAAATAATTAGAAGCACTAACTTTGCATAATGTTAATTTTATGTAAATGTTGCGAGGTGTCAAGTTGAAATATTAAGGCGTGAAAATAAAATGTCATATCTCTCGTACGCGATATGATAATGCGTCTTACTATCCACGACTACTTGCAGTAGATAAGGTAAATAGCCTTCTAACGTTTCTTTTTCGTTTTCTTGTTACATGTATTCATACAATTCTAATTCGTTTATCTTTCCTATCGTATATGTTAGCACAATTCTATTAACAAGAAAATGAAGGCTATTTGCATTAAATTCTGATGAGGCGAATTTAATTGCAAGGCAGTCTAAGTAGATGCATTTGGAGCATATCGAAACATGCAAGCAGCATGTAAATTGTGCGATAAACAGGAAAAATCTACTCATCAATTTGTAGCTATTATGGAATTCGTAATACTCTATTTTAAGCTACAACACAGAATACACGTATGTTTACATGAATATTTATTTTATATTGTGTATGCATATATGCATATGCATACGCATTGTATGTATACACAAATATGCATACACATTTATGAATACACAAATATACATATAAATATACATATGCATATGCATACACATATGTGCATATGCATACACAAATATACGTACATATATACATATGCATATGCTTACACACATGTGTGTACACAAATATACATACACATATGCATATGCGTAGACATATATGTAAACACATATGCATATGCATAGACATATATGAAACACATATGCAT